TGTCCAGGTGGATTTCAACATCCCCAGAGATGGAGACTCCACAGCCTCTCTGGGCAGCCTGTCCCAGGGCTCTGGCACCCTCACAGGAAAGATGTTTTTCCTTAGGTTTGTCTGGAAATTCCAGTGTTCTGGAACCAGATCACGTTTATATGCTGAAAGGCCAGCTCGCCACATTTTGGATCTGGGTTTGTGGTAGTTACAGAGAGAGGAGGGCTTGGTAATGAACCCAGCTTTCCTGAACCAGTGGTTTATTACCCCATCTATGCAGGATGATGGTCTGCAAAGTGGCAGAATATTTGGAGAACCATTCAGACCATGAGCTACCAAAGCAGTTCAACCCTTGTGAAGTTTTGAGCTGAATCCCTGTCTTGTTGGCATCCCTGCTGAAACGCTGTGCTTGTTCCGGACATTAATCTCCTGAAAGGTTTATTGCAGGCAGAGAAGAAGAATGGAGTATGAGGTGAAATGAGTTACCTCCACCAAAATGGAATGCTCTTGTGGAAGATAAATCAAGCGGCTTACCTTGTGAGAAACTGGATATTATCCTAATTAATCATAGGAAATGTCCTCTTCCTTTAGCATTGCACAGCTTCTAAAGTAATGAGTTATAAAGACATTGTTTTCTGCCAGCTCCAGTGCTCAGCATGGTTCGCAGAGATTACAAAGGAATAAATAGCTGAGGCTCTACCTGGTGGGGGAGAGTTTGCTTCTGTTGCGAGTTGCGTTGGTTAAACCTCAGCGCTCACCAGTATTAAACTGGAGAATTAACAGAAAGCTGGTTAGACAGGACTCTTGTGCACTCGCTCTGCTTTTCAATCCTCAATGAAAAAATATCATTATGTTGCTTTTTCCTTTTCCCATGAATAATATTTTCAGCTGATGGATTTTGTTTTATTGCTTATTTAAAGTCCAGCATTCTTTTTGCTTCTATTCCTTTTCCATCCGCTGGGATAAATGATGGCAGTGGGAGGCATTTTCTCTCTCTTGGACTAGATTTTTCTACAAACGTGCAGGCAACTTGTTTTGGCCAAACAGTTGAGTGAACGCAGCAGTGCAAACGGCCTTCGTTCCAAAGATGTGAATGAGGACAAGAGTGTGCATGCACATGGCTGGAAGAAATCTAAGTCAAAAAAAATCCAAAATAAAGAGCCTAACATGCAGGGGAGGCTGGACACCCCTAAAATTACCTTAAAACTATAAAAGCTTCTCAACAGTTATAGAAACCAGGCCAGAGATGGTGTACAACATCTGGTGAAAGAAGATAATTGGCATTCTAATTTTAATAATTAGGCAATTTAGAATATCGTTGTATGATCTTTTGCCCTACTTGTCTTCCAGCTCAGTGAAATAGTTGTTCTATGCTGAAGTCTCCTCAATCTGTATGTGATTAAGTGGACCAAGTGCTCCATTTCTACCTTTCATATTTGCAACTATGCACAATCTTTGGAAAAAATTAGCCCTTAGAGGGTTTTTTTTTTCTCCCCAACCTTCAGTTTCTTGCAACAATTAAAAAAATGCAGTTTTGCTCTCATGTACATTAAAACAGAGCAGCAAAAAGAAATAAAAATAATAATAATAATAATAAAAAATTCAACAACACTTGGCATTCATTAATGTTTCCATGTGGCAAAGTTGCTTCAGGTAATCTCGATAACTTTGTGCAAAAGTTCATTGCCATGTTTGTACTGACTTGCTGAAATGTTTTTTTTCTTCTGGAAAATCACCTCCGGTGGTATCCTCTGTGAAAGTTATGGCTTCTACAACTGTATGACTGTAGAAATCTCTGCCTGAAATGGATGTCACGCTGCGTGTTCCTCCCATGTGGGAGTTGTTTGCATTGCCTGTTGTTCATGTGGTTCTTATTTCTG